AAGCACTTACTAAATATGTCGCGTCGAAGCCGCTGATTCTCCTTAACGGAGTCCAATAGTTGGGCACGAACGTCCTTCAGTTCAACGCCCAGCTTGGTGTTGGCATCTTGGAGATCGTTCTTCTCCCGCCTCACCTTTGTCAGCACACTCTCACCAGCCTTCAGCTGGCATAGGAGTTGCTGCTTTTCCGGATTTAATTCGGCGCCATCTGCAATTTCATTTGACAGATTTGCACCCACGCCGCACTTCGCAAAATACCCATCTTTCGAAGCGTATATTACCAGAGGGGGTCTCCTTGGGCTCCCCTGCCGCGGCTAGTGCGGCCTCAAGTTGGGCTTTGCACTCTTCCAGCTCCTGGGACAGTAGGGTATTCTTTTCTGTAAGAACCTGCATAACAAATGATTCTTAAATCAGTTATTCTAACTGTTTCAAGTCTCGGGGGCTACCGGTATATATATAATTACCAAAATTTCCTTACCCGTATGTCTTTTACATACTGCTCTGTGGCTCTGGCTAGACCATTTTGAGCGTCACGGAGGTACGCATCTCCCGAATTGAAGGCATCCAATGCCTCTTGGGAGAAACAAGCGTCGCGAAGAACTGTCCGGCGACGCCTGTGGTTCATGGCACTCTCCACCTCGGAATTGGTGGCAGACAGCCTGTCCGCATCCTCTGTCGGAGGAGCGTCCGGTGCGCGCCTTGGGTTCGCCTCCGCTTCCGGACCAGGCTTTGGAGCCTGGCTGGTGGAGGCGCGATTGGCAACCTCTCCGGATATAGTCCGGCGAGGTCTCTTCGTCCTGAAGAGAGCACGAGCGTTAATATGCCTTGAAGGAATAACACCTGGGAATAAAATGGCACGCTATACCTTTGCGCCGGCGTCTTAGTCCGGACCGCACTTCTTTTCAGCCCGTGGGGCCTTGCCGCCCCTCGTTGGCTAGTCGCCACAGGCTCGGCCTCCCATCTCAAGGACCTCCATTGCAAAACACGGTTGTCATACAGCAATCGAAAACACGCGAGGATAGATCCCTTTTCAAAGTACTGGGACTTCGGTCTCAGTTACCTGTGAGGCTGGGAGTAGCCCTGGGTAATCGGCCGTAATGGCCACCAAGGCGTTGTCCTTGCTCAATTGATGAAACACCCCACAATCAGCTCCACAGATAAGTCCGGATCCTCTTGAGAGGCCGGGTCGAGGGACCGTCTCGGATCCTCGGGTTGTGGAGGAGGGCTGTTTATTTCTTTAACAGCCTTGCGCAGTTCCTGCGTTGAAGTCGTTAGACTGAATATTTAACGATGGGAATATAAAACGGATGGGCAAGTAGAAGTGTCCACTTACCCAACTTGGGGGATTGTACATAGAAAATCCACCCTGTGGGTTGACGCGGAGAAATTCCTCCTCTTCTCCCTTATACAAAGTGGACAAGATCTTTATTAGAGGGGCAGCCGAATCCGACCCCTTACGGCCGTGGCGGGTGGTGTCGTCCTCCCCGTTGAAGTCCCACATGGGGTGGCCCCTATACTGGAGCGGCTGCACCCCTCGCATGATGCATGCGGCCATGACCCCGATCATGGTCAGCCCGGAATGAGCTAACAATCTTATCCGGCCCATCAGGTAAAGAACGTCCTTGTCGCTTTCCCTCTGAGGGCTCCGTGGACGTCGGCTTAGGCGCTTCTTTATGGGAGCACTGTCGAACTCAAGGAGGCCGATCCGGACAGGATCCGGCAGCGGGACGTCCTCTATATAAAACCATTCCGAAGGCCAGTCCTCGGACGCCTTCTTTGGGGTTCCGGATAGATATCCGGTCCCGGCGATGCGCCACACTTCGGCTCCGCCCACTTGATACATTGACCCCTTCTAAGAACGGGGCACAAGGCAGAATAGCCTTTTGCACAACGCGAAATGAGCCTCGCAGCCCAAAAACAGCTCGCAAAGGGCTACGAAGCCCGCGATATGCAATATGGAGGCAGGCGTGAGGTTGTGTAGCTGGAGGCCATAGAACTCCAGGAGCCCCCGGAGAAACGGATGAATTGGAAATCCGAGCCCTCTTATTAAGTAAGGGACAAGGCATACCCGCTCTCCTTTGGAGGGATTGGGGGCTCTCTCCGCTTGCTCTCCGCCATTATAGGTGGCAAGTTCGGCTCGAACCGGGACCATATAGGCCGGGGGGAGAAATCCCTTGGTCTGGAGCGTCACTAGCTCGCTGTGCAGGATGGAGCATCTCTCCTAATCTCCAGGCTGAGGGCTGGAAGGGCGAGAGGAGGAGCTGCGGCGGTCGGCCATGATAGAATGGACCTCTGTCGGATACGCTCTGATGAATACTCGCGGAGGGAAGAAGGTGTGGTTTGGATCTAAATCCTCGTCCCCTTAAATAGGCGGCTCATTCACGTGGCTAGGGGTGTAAATATAAAAACACCCTGACTTTTCGTATTCATTTGACACGTGGAAGACGACCATTATTGGGCGTAGAAGCCAAGGAGCGCTACATTTACAAGAAACCGGACACTATTCAACAGGTACACGGAATTTGGAGGAGAACCCGCCTTGCGATGCCGAAGACAATTTGCGCGCCGGACTCGTCGTCATTGAAGCCTGGTTCGGGGGCTACTGAGGGAGTCCTGGATTAGGGGGTGTCCGGATAGCCGGACTATACCTTCGGCCGGACTCCTGGACTATGAAGATACAAGATTGAAGACTTCGTCCCGTGTCCGGAAGGGACTTTCCTTCGCGTGGAAGGCAAGCTTGGCGGTATGGATATGTAGATCTCCTACCATTGTAACCGACTATGTGTAACCCTAGCCCTCACTGGTGTCTATATAAACCGGAGGGGTTTTAGTCCGTAGGAACAACAATCATACCATAGGCTAGCTTCTAGAGTTTAGCCTCTCTGATCTCGTGGTAGATCTACTCTTGTACTACCCATATCATCAATATTAATCAAGCAGGACATAGGGTTTTACGTCAATCGAGAGGGCCTGAACCTGGGTAGAAACATCGTGTCCCTCGTCTCCTGTTACCATCTGCCTAGACGCACAGTTTGGAACCCCCTACCCGAGATCCGCCGGTTTTGACACCGACACCGAGCTCCCCTATCTTGCTCCAAATTTGCATGGCTCCAAAATTTGTTTATCCATTCAGCTTGGTAGGCGGTACGAACAGAAAATATACCATTTCTATTTAAGTCCCATGCAATGAAATAACAAAAGCATCAAAGTTCAGTGGTATTTGCATTATTCTCTGGGTATCAACTGAATTAAACACATCTAGTATGAGTTGTGCATCTCAACAGTGCAAAATACAGATCAATGAGCTCAATTACTTCTGTAAAAAATGTTTTACCCCGTGGAGTACTTACCTTCCTATCTGGGCTTGAGGGGATCCAAGGATTAGACCAAATGTTAACTTTTTTGCCTTGGTATTTCCACCAGCAAATATAACCTTTGGGCTCGAGGGGATAATGTATCATTGATCCTCATTAACATTGGATGATCCTCATTAACTTTTTCAGCTCGAGGTTATCTAGGCTCGAGGGGATCCAACCCTTTAAATGTTGCATGATCCTACCCCCAATAATGGCTAAAACAGTCACTACGGTCTGCCCCGCCATTGCGGGAAGACCTAAATATTCATCAGAAAGGGCTTGGGGTGCAACATTCAAATGTTGGCAAATCTCAACTTTGGAGGTAACATTTTTTATAGCTTTTTTTAGGGGTGATAACTGATAACATTAGTATTTTTGGACCGAAGAAGATTTTTTTTTTAGGGGTTGGACCGAAGAAGATGCTCCCATGGCGAGGCTCAGCGTTCCCTGACGCTCTCTGGTGTGTCAGCCATTATTCTGGGCCAATCCTTTTCTCTGGTCATCTGGGCCAATACTTTGCCGGACTACCTCAGCTCGCCCTTTTCTTTTTCTTAGAGAAACCAGGCTAACAGGCCCTACCTCCTCACGGCCCAATTTCAACACCGACCCTCCCGTCGTCCCCCCTTTCCATTTTTCCCTGCGTTCGATCGAACAGCACTCCTCCTCACCCTAATAAAAAAGTACAGCGCCTGCGCCCCTCTCTTCCTCTCTCCCCTACCGACCCCGTTCCCCTCTTCCCCACGAGAGAGATTTTCAAAAACCCTACCTCGCCGCTCCACCCCCGTCCCCCCGATCCCCCCCACCCAAAACCCTAGCCGCCCCAGATCGCG